AGAATACAAACGTGCATAATAGATAACATCAGTAGCACCAAAATGATCGTGTGCATTAAAAAGTTAAATCCTCGAAATCGAGGAATGTTGATAATTGAAAGATTCAATATCTGTCGAATCACTAAGTCGGATATAGCGTGCGCGAGTCTATATCTATGATGATCGAGACGGGATAATCATCGGATTTTTGGAACGAAGTTGCTCGATCGGATTATATCTTAAGCGGAAGGAAATAAGAATAAAATCCGTGAGAACAGATTTCTTAGATCTCCGTATCCCTTTTCCAACGCTCGACGCTTTGAAAGCACCGAGCGGATTGAATCCGCGGGGAAATCATAGTTGAATTTATTAAGCCAACGCAAGTAATTTCCCGCGAATAAATATTTAAATAACACGGACAGTTTATTCAATCCGGCCAATATCAAGCGGCGCTCAAATGCGGGACGGATCTGTCGATAAATTTAATGTTAAACGATTAATTTCGCGTAACTCGACGCCGTCGGTGTCGGTAGCGCGCAATCTCGTGCTTCGGACATTTAAAGCGCGTGATTTTTTCCCCGGTTGCCGATTCCGCGCACTCGAAGAATGATGATGCCCGCCAAATTCGTTTAAAATTAACATAATTAAATTGCCGTTAATGTTGCAGCGGCAAAATTTCGTTTCAGTAACAAAATGTAAAACTTGTTTATTTAAATTTATATCCCTCGGAGGGAAACTCTCTTGTTAAGCCACTACCTGGTTACACGAATTCTTCGGGAGAAGATTAACCCTCGTAGAAGGGTTAAAACAAGCGTCATCCTTTTCCCGTCCCTAATCTACCGGTTTAACGTTCGTTGATCCCACCCTCCACGGTAAGTTCACTTGGCAGTCAAGGATTTACAACGCGGGACCAATCGCCCTCGTATACATATATATATATATATATGTATATGTACAAATAGTGGTTACAACACGCTTTCGTTTCGCGCTGCGAATTGAAACGCGGAGCGCGTTTATTTATGCAATTCACTATTCACGCGTGTTATGGCTGTTACACGCGCCATGTAGAAGCGGGAAAACCATTTGCGCGAACCTGGGGAAAAGATAAAACCGTTGAATTTTCCGATAGCTTGGTAAATAACGGTGCGACGATAAAAAAAAGGAATTAACGTGACCACGCACGTGCGATATCTCAAATTTACGTCCGGCACGTTCCTGTTAAAGTTGACTTAATCACCGGCGCAGTTTTCCTAATTTTTTCTCAGGACTGCGCCCCACCTATCGTTCCGCGCTTGAAAATATAATTTTTCTAGCAAACAGGTTGTAGTGCCCGTTACGTGATTGCGTTACTCTTACACCGGTCGAGGACCAAGAGGCAGTAAATATAAATAAATTGACAAAATTGTTTCATTAAATTGAATAATAAGAAATACTTAAATATTCGGATTAGCTGAAGTTAAAGTGAATTAAATTTACCCGAAATGAATAAGTGGTACCAAATAATTCGCGATAAAGTGGAAACGTGTATAAAGCTGTTAAATTACTATTAAATTAAATAATAACGATACTTGTCACGCACTCACCACGAGTTTGGCGCGTTTTCAATATGCATGGGACGCGTCGCTAGAGGGATATAAAACCAATTGGGCTGTTAAGCGGCTGCAAATGTTAAATAAACTCAACGCGAGGTGAATCAAGCCGCCTCTTCCATACTTCCTCTCCTGTCCTTCTTCCGAAGAGTCACACGACGTGACTAACAGCACAATAAGCCATCGATCTCCTCTTTCCCCATCGGGCACTCTTTTTTTCGGGGTAAACTCGTTCCGTCGGAACAATCGGATCGCCTCGAAACGATCGCCCATTCAAACAGCTCCCGACAACCTAGTCGGGTGACGAAAAAGAAAAAAGGAAGGCAGCCGATGACGGAGAGACAGCGAGGAAAAAAATCGAAGCACGAAAGCATGAGAGGGAAAGGGGGGGAGGTAGCCGTTGCACGACACGTCGACTTTGTAGGGGTGTTGGAATCCGCCCTCTTTTGGATGCCGCCGACGCTGGTACGAAAATCTCCAAACAAAAATGCACTTTTCGTTGTTCCCGGGAAATTAAATCTTACAGAAACTGACGAACAAATCAACGCGATTGACAAGGTTTGCAATCCATCTCTCCCCCTCTCTTTCCTCTGTCTGTTAGCTACGAGCAAAATGCCGCAAAAATGTCTGAATTATGACATATAAAATATAAACAACGTATCTTTTGTTCGAACAGAAACGAGAACTCTAACGAAAGAGAGCGTCGAGAAACAGCCATAGATTGTAAAAATATTTATATTACTTTTTTTAAACTATTTGCGTTATTTAATTAAAAGTCCCAATAGATCTTCTTGTAAAGAAAATGCAAATGAATGTGTAATAAAATTTACTCTTCATTTAACTTTCATATTTCATAAATTTTGATTACAAACTTGGATACTAAAATATGTAATACGGGAAATTAAAAAGTTGAAGCAAATACGACAGGCGTCCGCGTTTTTCATAAGATTTTTTTTATTTTTTTATCTTATATCTTTAAATATAGAGCATCTTCAAACAATTTTTACTATTAGCTTAAAGTTTTTGTATTTAATTGATCAAGACAAACTTTATAAAAAGCTCCAGATATATATTTTTTAATCCATCTAATTTATTGAATCAATTAACTAAAATGTAATCAGTTTCCAATTAACTATTGATAATTCGATCATGATTAATTTTGCCTTCTTTATTTTCATTACTCATTAATCATGAATACAGATTAATCATAAATATTGATAATCATAATTAACCTCGCAAATTTTATTGTTCAATTATCATTGATTAAAATTTCATTCAGCTCTTGCGTACGTTTATTCTTTTTTGGATAGCAACGTGAGATTTTGCCAACACGATGCCACGAAAAATTTTCCGGCTCGAGAGTGCATAGGAGAGTGAATTCTACCCGATGTAACCTTCATCGATACAAGGTACGATTTTTCTCCGTTGATGGTCCATCCCGTCGATGTGGAGGCTGGGTTGGCGCGTCCGCTCTCTCACAATCGTATTTTTCATACCTCCCTCCCCGCGCCTTCTTCTTCGTCTTCTTTCTTCTTTTTTTTTTCATCGAAGCCCGTTTTCAAAACCCGTTATCATCGCGGACGAGTACGGCGTCGAATATGCGAACGCGAAAGACGCGTCGAGTCGCGGCACCGATCGCCCCCATTAAACCGGGCGATTTTATCGGGAGCTCTTTCTCGCCGCTTCCAGGTTGCGAAGTCGCGGTGAAACGTGCAGAAAAAAAGAGGTCGACGGGGCAGAACGAGAGAGTGACGTCGGTAAGCCGAGACGACGGCGTGCGAGCGCGCCGAAAAATACGCTCGTTAACTCGTTATTCGTCCGAAAGAGAGACAGGTCGGTGATTTTATCGGGATTGCTTTTATAACGATGCAACTTTGCGGATCGGGATGTATCCGGCGGAGGAAATAGCGGTGAAATTTGCGATGCAAATGCCACATTAAGCGGAGGAGAGTCAGCGTAAAAAGCTGAGACCTGTGCGTCTGAACGTACGACGAGATAAATGCGTATTTTTACATGCTGGCGAATATATTTTACTTCACGTTGCGATGATTAATTCCGCTGCTGGAATTATGAGAATATTCAGCCGACTCTACTTGTTATCATTATGCAGTGTCATCCAACAAGTAGGTTCATATGAAGAAAAAGAGACATTGATGAAGGAAAGGGAGAGAAAGTATGTTTTTTGAAAAGAAAAAGATTGGACGACCTGAAATACTAAATCGAATAAAATGCTCTGAAAATAAAAAAAGTGAATAGCACAATTTGCACAGCTTCAAAAATTAAGAGTATTATTACGATATTTATTCTTACTGTGAGCTACTTTTTGAAAGTTGAATATTGAATTTTTGCTAGAATATTTGCTAAAAGATATCAAAATAGCGAATTCGACTGACAATAAGTAATAGTTCGACATTACACAAAACCAAACTACACTATTTTATTCTTAATCCAAGTTAAACTAAAGATAAGCTAAATGTCGCGTTAATTACCCACCAATGTTTTACCCATCGAAATATTTAACCTACACAGTCAGATCGCTATTGCGAAGCGCAGCGAGAAAGAGATCGATGGCAACGATTTCCTTGTATGTGACATAATACATGAAGTTCCGTCGAGAAAACGAAACGAAAATAGCCGTCAATGATGGTGCTCCTCGATAAGTGAAATCGAGCGGGTGGCTTGCCTAATGACACGAGATCCGCCTTGAGTTCCCTAAGAAACGCGATTCACGAATCCGTTCCGCCTCGCGTATGTCGACACGCTCGAAGAAAAATTCGAAAGCTTATACGTCCAGTAACATGATTCACGTGTCAATTATGCCGGAAATATAAACGTTTCATTTAAATTACACTTGATTGTCTATTTTCAATTTTGATTCCAGAATGCTACATAAATAAATCTCTATGATTTTCCTCCTCTATAAGATTCGAGAGAGTTCTAATAGGCGAGAATGCCTAATAACTCAGTTCCTTTCTTCCTCATCTCTTTATCTTCCGCGAAAGAAAGAGCGGCCCGACGAAAGTCGCATAAAGTAGCAGCATCCGGTCGTATATTCGTCGTACGTATATCCATCAGAAGTGAAAAAAAAAGTAGCACCTCTCGCTTACATACGTCACGCGCTTTTCCCCTTCTTTCGGCGACGTCGGCACCCGGAGAGTAGGCACTTCCCCGGAATGCCGGTATATATCACGTGTCGTACGCTACGTATACTTTAGTGTTTATCGGAAGGAAGGGGAGAAAAGGCCACGGATACGTGTCTCTCTGGGTCCAGTGCGTTGCGCGATTTTGCGGTGAGAGGACCGATCGAGTGGATCGCAGAAGGAGCACAGACGTTCAAAGCTTCTTCGCGATATACGCGCGCGCACACACATACACACACAACACATACACAACACACACACACACACACGCGCACACACACACACACACACACACACACACACACACACACACACACACAGCACACACACGCACGCACGCACACACGCACACATCGTCACCGTGATCGACTCCCAGACTCTCTCAGTCGCCTCAGATCGATACTTATCTCTTGCGCCGTGCCCCGAGATCAAACGACGCGATCTTGAACACCGACCGACCTCCCGGGTTTCGGCATGGCTCTGGCAATCAAGGTGAGTGACGAACGTGCGCAACAGGTTGATGCACTCTCGCGCGCGCGGTACGCACACCCCACGTACATACATACACACATATATACGTGTATACACACACACGTATATATACACACGCGCGGACGGTGATTTAAAGTTTCGGGGGAGAACGCCCTCGGGGAAGAGCCGAGATTCCTCCTTTCCGCCCGCGCGCGCACCCGAAGCTGCGGCATTTAGCGAGAGCGGTTGTTTCGGTATGCGGGGAAAATTCTCGCCCCGGTGGAACTCCCTTACGACACTGCCTCGAGAAGCTTATTCATCGGACACGGTTCGAGATACGGGCACGAGCTACTTAGGATCCTCCTCGCGGACTCTCGCTCGGTGTCGTACATTTACGACAGGAGTATTCGAGGATAGAGGAGGGTCTACTGCCGTTTCCGGACGATTTATTTTTATTGTAATGCGTTTTACCCTACAACGAAGGACTACTCGGAGACGAATAAATTCGCGTCAAGAAATGCGCCACTTTGCATAATTGTATATTTGCTTGGGATGTCTCGGAAACTGCGCTACTCCTACAAAGCATATCTGTAATCTGAGACATCACAAAAAAAAAAAAAAAAAAAAATAAAGTGTAAAATTATTGGCCTCGATATATTTATGTTGAAGCCGAAAAGACGTACAAACTGTATAAAATATAAAAAAGAACGTATGCCGTAATCGATGCTTGCAAATATTGCATGAGGAATAATATCGTAGCGAGGTAAATATTAAATAATGAGGTAACATAAATCGGATCGTAACATCGACGATAATTAATATAATTTATCCTGGAAACACATATTTTCGTGACTCTTGCTTTTTCGAAAAATAAGAAATGAATAAAATAAAACAATAAATTTTTTATCGTATTCTTGCTTTACATACATTCTGTTTAGACGAGGTAAATATTGAAAGCCGATAAAGATGTATTTTACACGGTACATTGCCGAGTTTGGAATGAAACAATGTTTGCTAGACGTGTATGCAAAGGTTCGGATTAATGCACCATTAGATTAAACCAATAACGTTCCATTGTTACGTGCCTTTGTACGACTAAACGATCGTATGATGCAAAATAATTGCATCTTGCGCGAGAAAACATTATAACACGTTCTGCTGATACTTTAAAATTGCATTGGTTTATAGAGCGTAACTGTGTATTCACACTGTGTACACGCGCGGACAATACGAATGAAAAAACATAAATAATGAAAATGAGAAACAGAAAAATATCATATCGAGATCTTTATAGTTAACGAGACAGACACGTCATTATGTATTCTTATCAGCTTGCGTGGACATAATAGAATTTTGGTCCTTGTAAAATTAAATCTTCACGTGTCTCTCAATTTGAAATTTTGTGCCAATAATTACGAGAGTCGATTAAATTAATTACATGATTTATTTTATACAATATACGCATCAAATTTTATAATTGCAAAAGAGATTACCGTAATAAAAGTAAACAGTTTGAACAGTTTTATATCTTAATTCTAAAATTTCTCTATTTCTCGAGGTAAAATGTTTATAGAATCATATAAAGACTGAAACATTCGACACATATACGCTCGCAAGAAATAGACAGAATCAAATCTTACGAAAAGCAAAAGGCGACTTTTCCCGCAATAAAATCGAATTATCGAATTTCCACACGTAGCACGACGGTTGTATGTGCGACGCGATTGGCAACGGCTTATCGACAATGCGATAACATTATAATTCATACGTATCGCAATAGTATACTTATGCAAAAGATGTCGAAACATCGCCCGACCAGAATAACAATCGCGGAGAAGATTGTCGAACGGTTTTGTAATCCTTAGTGCGATCGCATTGTGATCTAAAAGCGAATAAGAAGATAAATGAATATATTATCGAAGATAATCTTCAAAGTTGAGATAATCTTCAACAATAAAGTATAAAGCATAAAATGTAACAACAATTGCGTCAATTTTTAACTCCCAGATTTCATGAAACTGCAAAATGCGCGCTATTAAATAACTGAAAAATAAATTAGCGCCTCTAAATTTGCATAACGTTTATTATACGCTTTTTTCGCAACTTATCCTAATATGCAAATGTCTTCTTGTTAAAAAAAATATATCTAGCAACATAAGTGGATTAAAAAATGACTGAGGTGCACGTGCATCAACCATCGTTTAAACGTACACGGTTCTACAAAACGGGATTTTGGTACAAATATGCTCCGAATTTTCGCCCGACAATCATTAATCTACAATCTACTATTAATTTTCCCCGCCACAATTCGCTCCGGTCCGCGCGAATATTGTATTCCAAAGAGCGCAAGCTGCGTTATTTATCGGTAATATTATTTACCGGTATGAAATGAGAAGACGCGGATGCCCGGCGACAATCTCGCTAGTATATCTCGATTACCGCCAAGCAACTGTAAATTAATTTGATAACCGTAAATTAACGCGGCCGCAAATAATACCGCGCCAACCGTGGGCGGGGAGCGGTCGCTAAATTATTATTTATCGAGCGAGACGTCGATATCGGTCCAAACGTATAACTTGTAGGACTGCTTCCGTTGATATATCTCGGCTACCATTCACCGACGAGGAGAGGAGGACTCTACTCTCGGCAGTCAATGCGGATTGTTAATTTCATAAATCGCGCAAATGCCGCCGCGCGCAGATGTGAGGATGCGGCGCGGCGTGACGCGACGTCGAGTAAATCATCGTAATCGGAGCGAAAGTGCCGTGTCGATAACTGCTAAGTAATTATTGCTGTATACGGGCGCGGGCAATGAACGTAATTAATACTATACCAACAACGCGATTTCGTGACGAGTCGCGTCGTATGCTTACGGCGCATTATCAGCCGTTACATTCAATGCGAGCGTAATTAACGGCCCGTATGCGGATCGCTGTATGTACAACGAGCGAGAGAGAGAGAGAGAGAGAGAGAGAGAGAGAGAGAGAGAGAGAGAGAGAGAGAGAGAGAGAGAGACGACGACGTACGTACGTACG